CCCCAAAACCCCAAAACCCCAAAACCCCAAAACCCCAGATGAATTTTTAAAAATTGATTATTTGAAAGTACTATATATTAAGAAAACTATTGGATTTAACAACCGCTGACTTTCTTTTGAATTTCTTGGCAGCCATAGGAGGGGTGTAGCTCATCGAACTAAGGTCACATGAGTGAAAAGACTCGTCGAAATCAAAGGAATCTTTACTTTCCTCTGAAATAACTCACTCAAACCTATAGTTTTGCCTTTTCAGTGATTTTAGAAGTTCTGTTGGGTCTAAATTCTCTTTTTCTTTCTTTTTAATTTCATAAGAAGCTTCGTTATTTTTATTTAAGCATCATTTCTTTGATAACACTTTTTGGGTTAGCAAGAAGTTCTTGAGCGGAATTAAGAAGTCATCATTGTAAACAAACTTGCTGTGGGTCATCTCTGTTGGAAGGACTAAGCAGGTTGGAGCCTTACAACTCAGAGCAAGCTCCTCTCCGTGCTGAGAAGGTATCAGATCATCCTTCCTTCCATGTAAAATGAAGGTCGGAGAGGTTACCTTATGAATCAACTCTGAATTTCTAAACCGTTCCTTTACAAAGAAGTGGTATAAACGCCCAAGTGGCATATTTTTGATAATCCCTCTAAGAGAGGTGTATGGACTTATAAGAGCTAGAGCTCCTAATTGATAAATTGAGCCAAGATAACAAGCAGGGCCAGTCCCAATAGACCTTCCCATTACTATAATATCCTGAGTTTTCCATTTCAAGACCTCAAGTATGAACTCGATGACTCTATGGGAGTCGTTGAGGACAGTATCCTCATTAGGAGTGCCTTCATAGACTCCATACCCAGGATACTCCACTATAACAATATGTATATCAATAGAGTATTGAATGTACTTGACAAAATGGTATGCTTGGCCTAGGTCTTCACTATTCCCATGGAAATATACCAAAATCTTGCTCGTCTGTTTCTTGCATCGCCTAGATATAAATTTTAAGCTACTGAAAATTGGAAAGTTATGAAGGAAACTTAGACTTACACAAAGAGACAAGGGATAACATTCCCAAGCTTCTCACAGCAAGAATTGCCTTGAAAGTTTTTAATTATTTCACAGTTATAGTCAACTTTGGGTTTTGGGTTAGTAATCCAGTTTTGGCGGCCTTGGTTTGAGGAATATGTCCTGCCCATCCTTTTAAAAGGACTCTTGGTTTTAGAAAAGGAAGGCACATTGATCTCGGTCTGACGAGGAAGCTCTCTCATTTCAACACCATTACTTGCATTGGTGACATCTGAGAGGGAATCACTTAGCTTTGTCTCAGAGTTTTTGAATTTCCCTTTAGGTGTCCGATATACTTGTTGTGGGAAATCCTTGCTAGTGATTTTTCTTTCAACTTTTCTTTTATTTCTTCTCACTAATATCGTACTTAAAGCTCCTAAAATTGCCTTCTTGTGGGACATAGAAGAGCATATCCTTGAAATTCTTTACAGTGTAGGTAGGTTTAGGTGCTGGGAAAATCAGCTTGTTGAGCTCCATTGCTTCTAATGTTTAAAATCTAATTATTTCAAATTAAGTTTGCATGGTTGGGGTTTTGGGGTTTTGGGGTTTTGGGG